TGGAGCGGGTAGAAGAAGCCTATCATCTGCTCCACGGCGCCCGGGGGCCCAGGGGCTTCAGCCGGAGACCGGAGCGGAGACCTGGTGGGAGGCACAGCCAGGAGTTTCCAAAGCCTCACAGCAGAAGCAGGGCTGCTGCCTTGGCTGAAAGAAAGGAGTTGTGGCCTGAAGACCCCTCACCAGTAACCGAGGCCGTGGACTTGAAGGAGGAGCACCATGATGTGGAGAGATGGACCCCGGAGGAGGGGGCCAAAGCCCAGGGCAGGGAGAAGGAGAACCTGGCGTTCAACCGCAGCAACCACAGAGCAGCTCCCAGCTGGCAGGGCCACCACAGGCCCTGGGATTGCGGGAGGTGGGAGAGGTCCAGAGTCCAGGAGCGTGGTTCCTACCCCAGAGCACCAAGGGGGCGAGGGGTGTTCAGGCCCAGTGGACGACGAGAAGCCCATGTCCTTGAGAAGGAGAGTGGTTCCTAGCAGGAGTGGTATGGGGCTGGGCTGGGGGAGGGAAGGGCTGTTTCTGGGGAGGACAGTGAAGGCTGTGGTGAAGCAGTATCAAGTAGGCACCGTACCCCTTGGGAGGGAGGAGGCAGTTGGCATGTGGCACAGCTTGGGACAGGCAGTGTCTCCAGGATACATGCAGAGTGAAGCATACTGGCGTGAGTGACTGGCCATCACCAGCACTGGAGAAGCTGACTCCTGACGGATCGTCAGCCTTGGTCTCAGAGAACCCAGGGGACAGAGGAAGCCTTGACCGGGGACCTGCAGCCATCATCCCTGTATGTGAGCTGCTAAGAAACGTGCTCACCTACAGAGGAAACAGAGCTGGAGTTATGGCAGGACCTTCCCTGGCAGCCAGCATCCCAGCCGAGCCGTGGTGGTGCCAAGTGATCAGGCTGTGCCAGGGCAGCAGCCTGGAGCTCAGCTTGCCATGTCCCCCCAGTCCTCCTCAGAGCGCCTTCCCAGCTGCTGTCCCTGTCCCTTGGAGACAACATCGCTTCTCCTGTGGCCCTGACCGCTGTTCAGCTGATGGGCTTGGCCAAGCAAGTCCCCTTTGTACGACAGGACCTTTCCCAGTCCCAGCCAGGAGAGCTAAATCAAGCTTTAGTCAGCACATTGACAGGTCAGGGCTGTCTGGTGGCTCAGGCTTCGGGTTGGCTCCTGCTCTCCCAGGAAGCCTGAGTTCAGCTGGAGCTCCTGCCCTGTCCTCCCGCTGCTCTTGTGCAGGCAGAAGCTGACCAGGGAAGAGCACTTGGCTTTGTGACCTGTATCTGTTGGGATTCCCCTCTAAGGCCAGGCTGTCTCTTGGAGCTTCCGACAGCCCGAGTGAAGACCTGCCCCAACACTTTGGGTACTCTTACCCTGCTTTCATTTTCAAGCTGAGCTTGCTTCAAAGAAATGAGGATTTGCTGTTAAAAATAACTTGGTGCAGTTCCTTCTGCTGCTGCTTTACAGATTTAAACTGTCCCACTCTAGAGCCGTGACGGGCGATCCCAAGCCTCTGAAGGGGGACACTGCTATTAAATTAATTCGTTGGGTCTTCAGAGCCTGCTCCCTTTGTTTTTGCTGCCCTCTCGCTCCTGTTCTTTGCTGTTTGGAGCGTAGATGTTGATCCCTGGTATTGCCCACTCCCCTCGCTGCTCACTACGCCCGGGGCCAGGGCAGAGACCTTCGTCTGGCACTCCTGGGCGGTGGGAGGGCTCCCCAGCCCCTGCTTTGCCTGCCTGCCTCCCTCCCTGTAAGCTGTCTGACTCACCCAGGCGGTACCAATTCCTTCACACTTGTTTGTGCCTTGTCCCCCACCTCTCTTTTGGCCACACACGGGTTGTTATCGTCTTCCTCCTGCTGCTGAGTGCAACAAGGGCCATGCTGTGGTGGGCTTGCCAGAGCTTCGGGTGAGAACCCTGGGAAGGCAAGGGCTGCGAGCCGGCTGGGAGGGCGTTTGTGCTGCATCTGCCTGGCTGATCCTTTGGCACATGAAGGGTGCACAAAAGCTGTCTCTTGAATGGGTCTTCCTCGCCTGCTGCCCTGCTCTCTCCATGCCTGGCCTTGTCCCAAAGGGCTGGTTTAACCCTCTGCCCAAGGACCTGCCATGCTTTACATTTCCAACACTGGCCTGTTTTCTACCCTAATGCTCTATAAGGATGTTTTGCACCTCCTTGGTCTGATTCTACACTACCTGGCCTGGGGATCTGAGAGCAAAACGTTGTACCCTGCTGGGGATGAGGGTTGAGCACTCACTCCTTGAAGAGAGCCCTAGTTTTTCTCCAGTGCTTGCTCTGTCCTTGTTCCAGCTGGTTTCTAGGTCAACAGTCTGTCCACACTTGGATGAGAAGGTGTAAACTTTATCTGACATTGGTGCTTGTTCTGCTGCCTTCTGCCTTCACTCGTGAAGCCGCTGTGCCCCAAGAAAGGCGTTTGAACATGTTGTGAAAGAAACATGAAGGTCTCTGCTCCTCGCAGCAGCTGAAGCTCCTTGGCCACC